AAATGATTTAAATAATACGGGAATGCAAATGAAAATGGTGCTAATAAAGAGGTTAGAACACAATAATCACTTTTTGTATCCGAACACGAGTATGTCGGAGACGCTTATGGTGTACATTTATGGAGACTTTGGCGAAACTTTGAACTTCCAAACTTGGGGTAAAATTATAATTTTATAAAGTCCCGTCCAAGTATAGCAAGTCTAAAAGTGATCAGAAGCAGAAAGACAGTACACTCGACGTATGATAACAAGAAGTATGACTAGGATGAATTAAGTGTTCTCTAGCTTTTTATATCGTTCTTGTTTCCAAAAAGAAGAGAATTTTATTGGACTTTACTAGGAGGTGCCAGGTTCCCTCCTAAACTTGTATTTTATTAGTAGAACATGACACTTATACTAAGGAATAATTACAGCGAATGTCCCAATCATTTAAAAATTATAACGCGAAAGGATTTTTAGACGGTTTCCATCCAAAAATTCGTTAGTTAACCAAAGTCACCATATAACCATAATTTAATAAATTTTTGAAATAGCAAAATGATCTTTTAAATTTTCTTAATTAAAAAAAGGAAAATTTTCACTATCGGAGGCCCCAAACATTTCAACAATGTTCAGTAAGGCACCATACCTTTAATAAATATGCACTGGAAGGACCTCTAACAGTTTTCATCCAAAAATCTATTAGTTTACCAAAAATATTCTTCTCTGATCTACCCAAACCCCCAGCGCCTGATCCCTAACTCATCCAACCCATCCATCGATGGGTGAGGAACCTCTGTCATCATTACTACTGTTGGTTTTGAAGAAAATTTATTTATCTCTAACTTTTTCCAATTCTTTGAAATTTTTTATTATGAGGTAATGAAATTGATGAGATGGGGAAAAGGTGGTCGACGGTGGTGGCTGATATCTCTAATGTAATAGAAAATAAAATTTCTTTTAATCAAATGATGTAATAGAAAAGTTGAATTATATACTTGAAGAATATAAATTAATTAATATTTTATATTGGTAACTTTTTAACAATATTTTATTTGGTCCAATATGGATATAATTAAGAAACAATTTGACAGCTTAACTAGATGATGCTACTCCAATTCAGCTTTATCTTATCTATAAAAAGTTTAAGATATATAAAACACCTAATTGTGGATCAAAAGAAAGCTGATAGTGAGAATGATGCATAGTGGGTAGGGGGGAGAAACGTAGTTCTAGTCGAAATATAAGGCTCCGTTTGATTGGCGGAGTTTTACAGGGAAGTAGGAAAATATTTTCCTACTTTCACTTTTTTAACTGTTTGATATGCGAAATTTTCTACGGAAAATGTTTTACTCCATTTTTCTAGATACAACTCTTTAATGCACAAATGGTGAAAAATGTTTTTTCACCTAACAGGTGGGTAAACATTTTCCACCTTTTTTTTTTTTTTTT